TTGGGCACGTTGCCTTATTGAGTAGGGAAAAAATGTATTTCAGTTAAGGGAGATGTTCCCTTGCCTGCGGTCAGTGATATTTTTAGTTTAAAGTAGCATTTACTGGCAGTTTTTTACATAACTTTTTCCAAAAGCACGTTTTGTTCTTACCTCCAAATTCCAGCATGGTTAAAAGAGCAAATAACGTGCACTCGTGGATTATCAGACCACTGGACTGGCAGAGCATTAGTTACCCTGGCATTTTACTTCCTTCTACAAAATTATTTGTAAGTTATCCTACTAAAAGCTAGTCTGCCCCATTTAAGAGGTTCATTAGGAAAAGGAGAATTCTTGAACTTTTAAATCTATTAGCTTGTAGTCTGTTCTCTCAGTATTTTTTCTTTTAAATCTCTGGTTTTATGCTTTCATGTGTGTTTTGAGCAATTTCTGCTACTTAATGGGTTTTGGGTTTTTTTGACAGTGTAGTTGCAAAGGCAATAATTGCTTTTTGGCTTTCTTTGCCATGTAGCCATATCTGTTAATAAGAAAACATTTACTGTATCTCAGGTTCATTTTGAAGGGATCATACATAGTTAAAGAATGAGGGCTAAAATGCAGCTCCCTCTAGGCGGTCGTATTAGGGAGTTGTCCTTGAGTGGTCAAGTTGTAGGCAGTCGCAATAGCAAGCAGCAAGCTTTGGTTCAGTAAAACGCAAAGGCAATTATTATTGCTACTAAAAACTGCAGTAAGCATTAGGTGAGGGGACTATTTTATAATCCCCTCCTCACACTAGGTAGATGCATCGGCTCATTGGGAGGAGGTTTATTGCGTGCTTTTCAAGATGGAATTTAACTGCTGCAGATTGAAGTCTCGCATCTTGTCAGTGCGCTGCCTCCATCAATACGTGCTAGTGGCTACCACTGCCCCGGCACTGTCCCTGGGGAGCCTTTGGAGCTTAAAGGTATCCATTCATTTTCTGCACATTCCTAGCTTTAATATCTATCATTGAATTTGGTCTCAGGTGGGCCAAACACTGGCTTGTGGATTTGACATTCTATGCTAGAAATAGGTTTTAGAAGCTATTTGTTCCTTGTTTAAGCTACTTGCTTTTCTAGAAATTGAAAAATAACCCATAGATTTACAAATCCCATCTGAGTAAGCACTGGGAACATTTAAAGATTCAGGTTTTACTCCTTTCTTTGTGTGTTTGCTTTCTCTCCTATGGCTGTGCACTTTTTCCTGTATTCTGGGCTAGTTTATCACGTTCAAATTGGTCACATACAGTTAGAACTGGTCTCATAATAACAAGCAGAAATAGAGGCTCTAGAAAGCTCTGCGTACAGAAGCAGCTTCCTAAGAATTTAAACCATTCTTAAAAGCTGTGTGATTTTCCATTTCATAATATGTTTTCATTCCCAGAGCAGCAACTAGCAACTACTGGTAATACAGCTAATGGTTGTGATATATACAACCGATCATTTCTGTTGAGGTTTTTCAATAATGCATTTAATTAGCTTGGGGTTTGAAGGCTTGATTTCTTTTTTCTTATTTTCATTTGCTTTTCATCTTCTGGTAGCAGTATGTTGTTGATTTCCTTTTTTTTTTCACAGCCGAAATCTTTGATACCAACTACTACTATATTGTGTAGCTAATAGGGTACACCACAGGCTTACTGTTTAGGCAGCACAGTACCTTCTCTTCAGACCTTCTCCTGCTGCAAGGGGGCAACTGCTGAGAACAGCCTTCCTGCCTATTGTGCACACATCTGTTAAGCTGCTGCTTAGAACAATTATAGGCTCTTTCTCTCCCTACCACAAGTCTCTGGAATCAAATTGTTCAGCTCTTCATGACAATAATTCCTCCAACCCTACCTAGCCTCTAATGCTTTTCAATTCTGGCTGGAGACAAGCAATAATTTATTCATATGTCAGAATATAATTTGAAAAATGTCAAGAAGAGAAGGAAAAATGTGGAAGAAAATAATTACTTTCTGAGACTTTAAGGCAGGTTTTTGGGTGGTTTTTTTTTCCTTTCAGTGTCCTGAACAGGAAAGAAGTTTGGAGGCTACATGTAAGAATTGGAGAGGAAAAGCAGGAAAACACTTGAGAATACTTAAGGAGAACTGGAAATCCTGTCAAGTACTTTTAATTATAATTGTCTTATCATTTGGATAGTAAGATTGAGAAGAGTGTACTCAGCACTGCAAAATAGGACATTTCTTCTAGAAGAATATTTGAAATCAAGCTTGAAAGACTTGTCAGTGCTCATCTCATTCTCAGGCCTGCAAAATGCTATTAGTTTTTCAAAAGATTTATTTTTCTCATAATTTATTATCTTCTTTTTTTCTTTATAAAGAATGACAAATTCAGTGTCTTTAGGAAGAAATTACTGTTCAGGATCTCTCCTCAGTTCTAATTTGTGATTTCAGGATCTGAAATATAGGAATCTTTAAATTGTGAGACAAATTACTCAGTCTGTATTTGAAAAAAAAAAAACAAACAAAACAAACCAGGAATATATTGTTAGGTTATCCCAGAGCTGTCAAAAGCAAATGACTGTTACAAAGCAGGGCCCAACCATCTTGTGTCTCAAGTGAATCTGCAGGAATGAAAACTGAAATAATACATAAAGAAACTTGCTACATTACCCCTCAGTTTCTCAAAGATTCTGGCTTCTTGCAAGGGGAATAGGACTATGTTTTCTCACCTTTCCTTCATCTTTACCGAAAACATATTCAGATGAACAGTCTTGAAACACCACATAATCCTATGGTGGCAGAATGCAGTGGAGCCATTTAGATTTTCTCCATTGAACCAGGTTGTGAATAAGGATTCCTGAAGCAATAGTATTGTTCATTTTTGTCCTTAATCAAGCTTAAATAATCTTAATCATGTGTCATGAACTTACAGACTCTTTCCAGGGCACCACTCTGGAAAACTACCTTTCCCTAGTCCTATTTTTAGCTATACTTCTTCAAATATGATAGCAATAGTAATTTTGCTGAATATTTGTTTGAGATTTGAGAGGAAAGAAGGAGCTATATGAAGACTGTATTTTCCTAGAGTGAGTAAAATAGTCTCCTTCCTTTTACCAGTAGGAGATGTTGGTCCAAAATTTTTCTAATGCTCTTGTGCCTTTAATTGCCCAAAAGGCTATATTGAATGCTATATTATTAAAACACACACAAGCTAAACTTTCACTATAATGTGTATTAATTATCGTACTGTGACATTGAAAATTGTACTCAAACCATGTCTGTAATACATATCCAGGATGCTTAAGTAGAAGTAAAATACTGTAAATTGACATATGGTGAAGAGTGATTTCACTCTTATCATACTTCAGAATTAAGTCTCACAAAAGTATCAACTGTTCTGTAAATTAAAAGAAAAGATGTCCAGTTTTGCAGCCACAACATCATCTTGAATTTGGTAATTTCAGAAACTGTAGTCTTAGATTCTGCTGTTATTTCCACTCTGAGACCTTCTGATGTTCCTTGTGTTCTAACAGCCATAGCTTCCTGATGTTTTAAATGGCTTTTTCTCCTGTCTTCATGTATGTGAACTACCAAAGCAAGTAAAAGACAAGTTGAGTGGCTATAGGGTAACCAGTGAAACTAACTATATGTGCAGCTTTTTTAAAAGCAGAGAAAGTAAGGAGAAGAATACATTGCTTCTTTAAATGCTCTGTGCAAATTATGGATGATAAAATTATCCCTTTAAATTGCTGAAAATAAAAATAAATCTTAAAATTCAGAAGTTTTAGACTATTACTATCCTTTTCCTTAAACTTGAGTTCTAAGTAAGTTACATCATGATTGTGATGTTATTAGCCTAGTGAGTTGGTTTTAACTTGCCTATAATATCATAGAATTCCAAAGTCATAGAATTACAGAACAGTTTGGGTTCAAGGGACCTTCAGAGATCATTCAGTCCAGCCTCCCTGCTATGATAAAATAGTAATAATATATTACTACATTTTCACTATGTACTTGACTTTCAGAGCTCAACGTACCAAAATTACCAAATTTGTCAGTGTTTGGTTTTGTAATGCTTTGAACGTTGGTTTCTTCACAAGAGGAACATCACTAGAGGAACATTTAGGACAATACGTTATCCATTTTTCCTTCAGTTAACTGACTTAAGGCATTCCTCTAAATGAGCCACTAATTGCTTACTGCGGTGTGGCAGTTCAGTAATGAATTCAGTAGGGATGTTAAGTTGATAAGACCTGATAGCCTTTTACATTTGTATATTCTTATTACCTCAGTGATGTTAAAGCAGTGGTTTAAAATTGGGGTAGCACACAGAATGTCATGAGTAAGATATGTAGGCTAGAAACGGACAGGACCGGGCATAAACAAGGTGGTGTGGTTGTTCTCAACATTTTACGTTTCTGTAACATCTCCTGTAACCAGCGTTAGCACGACGCTAGAGGAAGTCCTGTGTGTTGGTCTCCAGAAGCGCACAGGTTGCTGGGGAAAGCACTGCAGAGGACATGACTGCCATGGCACCCCAGGGTTCTTTACCGCTTCTCCCGCTGTTTTGCAAAGTGATGTACTGCAGCAAAGAACTGTAACTTCTGTCTCACTTCAGGAAGTACAATTTAGGAGCTGGGGTAATTTGATGGATAGTGTATACTAAGAAAAATATTAGAAACCGGGAAAGGCCACATAGTCCATTGAGGCTCATTTCATTCCAAATACACCTTCCCTAGGTTATCATCCAATTGTTAAGAGAAAGAGTAATGTTATCCATTTTTTATAATTCCACTTCTGGGTATTACGGAGATAAATACTGAAATGCTGGAGAACTAACTTTCTTTCAGAGCACTATTTCAGAGGAATGATACTTAAATGCAGATAGGTGGGATGACAGAAAAGAAATTGACCCTAAATGAAAAGTATGATGATAGTGATATGAATATATGTATATAGTCAAGGTTTCTCAAAGTTCTCCAGAGACAGGCTTCCAATCAGGAGACTTTCAGAAAGTAACCTTTCCTTTGATTTATTGTTTCAGGACCAATGCAGGAGACAATATATGACTTCTGGAGAATGGTGTGGCATGAAAACACAGCCAGCATAATCATGGTTACTAATCTCGTAGAAGTGGGAAGGGTAAGTGATTTTTGTACTTAAAAAGATGAAAGACTTCCAAGGTGTTTGCTTTTGGAAATTAAATAGCAGACCAACAGGATGCTTATATACTGAGTATAGCACATAAAATATTTATGACTGCCTCTGCTAAGAGGTTCATTATCAATTATTTTTAAACATGCTTTGGATGCTTGGCTTTGATAACATTAGCACAATGGAAAAGTAACTGATAAAGCTGCATTCTGTACAGCACAGCCTGCAAAGACTGCCGAAGAGGGTAAGCGTCATGTCTTTCTATATACCTCAGGCATACCATTTCTATGAAGGGAAACCAGGGAAGTGGTTGCAGAACAACGTTTGGAGTCTTCTTTTTTTTAAGGGAGGCTGAGGAGGAGTAATTCTGAAACAGATTTCTCAGAAAAGTATTTAAACTACAACATTGCACTTCTTCATAATATATTAGTCTAAATCAACCTGATATGTTTGGATTTTCCTTCCTGTAAGCCTTCTAGACTAAACCAGAAAAAAATTAGCTTTATTCACTTGTACACTAAATTTGTTGACCAGGAGGTCTTCTTCAGGAGCTGAGTAGTAAAGGAAAGCTTGAGTTACCTGGTAGCTACTGTGTACTTTTATTTCTTTGCTTGATAACTTCTAAAGGAGGCCTCCTACTCAAGTCATTATGGCTAATTTTGTTTTCAACAAGTATTGAATGAACCATTTTCTTTGTTTCTCCCAACCATCAATAACTGAGCCTTTTAATTTACCACTTTGTCTATGCACTAGTGTCTTAGTTCTCATCTGGGATGTTTTTTTCAAGAAAATTTGCTTGGGAATTGAGCATATAGCTTTCATTTGGAATGGAAAAAAACCCACTGCTTTTATTGCTACTACTGCAATTATTGTAAATCACAGTGTTGAAATAAGAAGTGCACATATCTTGGTGTGAGCCACGTGGTTTTAAGAGATGTTTTTAATTTCATACCGGTGAAGTGGCTGATACCTCTCTGCCCTGTGGCACTGGCATGAGGAGACGTGCCACTGCTTGTGTGGTGTGAGTCACTGTGTCGGATATTGTCTCCTTTTTAGCAAGTCCAATATATTCTCAATATATATATATATATTCTCAATATATTCTTCCTTATGTCCTTTGTCAATTATTAGTATAAATCCTAATGTTTAGATATCTTTGTGCCCAAGCCTGCCAACAGATCAGATGCCGGTATTATTTTTAGATATAAAAAAGATGGGATTTGTGACTGCAATTAACACCTGCTGCAGGAACACATGTATGACTAATTGCAGAGACAAAAATGGATCATGGAGGCCACTGTAAAAACTCAGTCCCTTGGGTGAGGAAGAAGGTAGATATAGTTGGATAGTCGCATATTGGTTCAAAACAGATGGATTTGTAAGAATAGGAAGCTCTCCAGCAAACCTCTTTGTGAGAGCTTTATACACATTCATAAGTACCCAAGCATGCAACTTAAAAAGAGATGTTTTCAGGGTATGGATAAACAGCCTTTAGAGCAAAAATAGCCTACTGCATGGAGCCACATACTGTTTTCTTAAAATCCGTGTTTGAAAGCATCAATTAAAGTGAACTGGCAGGCCAAGGAGGCGCCCGTCTTGGTGCCAGCATTGGTGGCCTCAACTCACAACGTGTAGTTACACAGCACATTGCCTTAGCAGCAAGCAACAGTTTGTGCTACCATGGGTGCAAGAGTCCTGGTGAGATGCAGATCTGCAGCTTTGTTGTTTCTGGCAGTGGTAGAAATGACTTTGCTCTCACTATCTCTGGAGGCCAACATAGGTGAGATCAGAGAGCAGAAATTGAAATGAGCTTTTAATGGAAATGAGATCGTATGAGCCACAGAACAATGCAGTCACTCCTCCACTGATGTTTCTGTCCTGCTCCCAGGGCTGGAAACATCAGCAGCAAGGAGGCATGTTAAAAACACACCATCTGTCCTGCAACCCCTAACACAAGCTCTGTTCCACCTTGATTAGTAATTATTCTAATGGA